CACAGGAGAAAAAGGCGGGAAACAAGGACACTCCCTCTTTTACCCACAACAACCAATCACAGCATAGATTGCCTCACGGAGGAGACAGCTCTTTCTCTCTGACCAGTCAGCTACAACTGCATGTTATGATTCATCGTACCACTCCGCTGTTCGAGCTACTAAATTTAAATATTGTAATGGACACTTAGAGCCTCTGCTGGTGGCAGAGCGATCCAGTCAATTAATAACCATAATGGTATGGAGGAATGACCTTGGGAGACAGAAAAAGGAACCGTAACTTAGTCAACAGGCTGATATGATAAATAAATAATCCTTTTTAAATGATTTATATTGTTCGGTGATTAACTGGATTGCATAAAGCAAAGAGTTTGGATTTGAATGTCTATGGCAGGGGTGTCAAACTCAAGGTCCATGGGCCAGATCTGGCCTGCAGGGTGCTTAAATCCGGCCTGTGGGGTCGGCCTGGAAATATCAAAGGACCAGCTCTCTGGTCAGTTACCTCTGGCAATTAAAACGGTGGGGCCCCTCATGCCTCGTTTTCACCCTCCATGGCCTCCTGCAACACTCTGCCGATCGAAAATGGCCTGAAAACAAGTCGGAAAATAGCCTAAAAACAGGCTGAAAATTGCCCCAAAAGCGGGGTGAAAAATGGGCCCCAAAACAGACTGAAAAACAGCCCCCAAACTGGCTGAAAACAGGCCAAACACAGCCCAAAAATGGGTGAAAAAAACTGGCTGAAAACAAGCTGAAATACACGCTGAAAATGGCCCTAAAACAGCCGGAAGAATGGGCTGAAACAGGCCCCAAAATGGGCCCAAAACTGGTTGAAAATGGGCTGAAAAACGGGCTGAAAACTGACCCCAGCAGAGTGCTTCAGGAGTCCATGGGGGTGAAAACGAGGCACCGGGGGGATCCCTCGCACCCTGTTTTGGCCTGCAGGATGCTGCAAGAGGCATCTGTCCCACCCACCCCCGCCCCCACCTCCCTCCGGCCCATGAAGGAGAACTACAATGCTGATCCGGCCCTCCAAGAAATCCAGTTTGACATCCCTAGTCTATGGAAATTTTCAGTCCTCCAAGTCATGGTTGTCCCAAAGGTGCTTTTTCAAGAGGCAACTGGACTTTCTGTTTTTTTCTTTGAAGAGATTTAGATTTGAAGGAAGAAGAAAACCTTGAAAGTGAATTTCTCACCCGGAATGCGTATTTTGTTGAATTTTAGTCCGTGGATCTGGGCAAGTTTTTCCGATAGAAGGAAGACAGGCCGCTGAAGGTGGATGGATTTGTTGCTGCCAATGTGCAGTTTCTCTCTAAGGAAGGAGAAGGTCCCAAGTCCAGGAATTTGGACACCCTGCAAAAGAAGACGACCTACGTTAAGAGCTGGAACAGCAACACGGTGAAGGCTCCCAACCTACGTTATGCATAGTCCTCGAATTACAACAATTGAGCCCAACCTTTCAGCTGCAAAGCAAGACAGTTGTTAAGTGTATTTTGCCCCATTTTATGACCTTTCTTGCCACAGTTGTTAAGCAAAGCACTGCCATTAAGTGAATCACCGCAGTGATTTAGCAAATCTAGCTTTCCCGTTTATTTTTTTCTTGCCGGAAGCCAGCTGAGAAGGTTACAAATGGTGATCATGTGACCTCAGGACACTGCAACTGTCATCATAAATACAAGTCAGTTGCCAAGCACCCCAATTTTGATCATGTGATCATGGAGATGCTGCAATGGTTGGAAGTGTGTAAACTGGTCACTTTTTTCAGTGCCTTTGTAACTTTAAATGGCCATTAAATGAATGGTTGCAAGTTAAGGACTATCCATACAGTACAAGCTGAAAGTTACATTATAAATGTTATATTAGGCACAGATGTAACTCAATACACCAGTGTTGTTCCCTATAAACATCAGCAAAATAAGGATATTAACAGTGTTCTGTTGTGAAAATGTAGAGAAAACGTAACATTCGGGAATCAGGCAGCTAAAAAGATAGAATTGGAAGGCTTATGCTTAAGGAACACTGAATCACAGTTAGAACAAAAGAATTTTAATACTGTAACCCAAGCTGAGTCACTGATGAATCTGAATAGAAGTGAAATATTTTTAAGAAAAAAAAATCTTGATTGCTCAGAATGAGAGACCCGGGATGGATGAACTAAGCAAGCCTTTGGTATGAATTAACATGGTTTGCATTTTTATACTCTTAACCCCTTATCTTCCGCCTGAGAGAAGATCTTAAAATCTGTGTGGGAAAGAAAGAAAGAGAAAGAAAGAAAGAAAGAAAGAAAGAAAGAAAGAAAGAAAGAAAGAAAGAAAGAAAGAAAGAAAGAAAGAAAGGAGGGAGGGAGGGAGGGAGGGGGGGGGGGGGAGGGGGGGAGGGAGGGAGGGAAGGAAGGAAAAATTGAGAAATAGATGAGATAAATGCTCAGTTTGTCTTTAACTGGTGGTCATATCTCTGGTTTGAAGATACATGAGGCTTCCTACTAGTCTCTAGTAACTCCTATTTCTCTAGGAAGCCAATCACAGTTAACTCTGAGTATGGAATTCCTTACCACCTAATCTTATCAACAAAAGAGTGTTGCCTTCCTATACATTTGATAAAAGAAAATGTCTGGAGTCTTGGTTAAGGCACCTGTCTAGAAAACAAGATTGTGAGTTCAAGCCCACCTGAGCCATAAAAACTAGCCCGTAACTTTGAGGCACTTTCTCTAAGCCAGACTACCTTACAGGGTTGTTGTTGTTGTGGGGAAAATAGGAGGAAGAAGTTATGCTGGATACTTTTGCTGCCTTGAGTTATTTGTAAAAGATAATAAAGGCAGGATACAACCAAAAGTAATACATACCAAGATCTGAAGAGTGCAAGTAGAAAAATGTGCAAAACGTCCTACCTTATTCATTGATAGTTGCTTCTCAACAAACTCAGAAACGGCGTCCCAAATATTAACAACATCTGAAACGTAAAGCACACATATTTTTGAGCACACTTTTTACACAACAATTGAGGAGGAAGCTCAATCCTGGGTAGAAGTTCACTAAACTGATTTATTGCTGAATAGATTTTATTTATATCCATGACAATCAGTCAGACTCTTGATGGTTTATAAGTAGAGGTGGTCCTCGACTTATGACAACATTTGAGCCCAAAATTTCTGTTGTTAAGCAAGACAGTTGTCAACTGAGTTTTGTCCCATTTTACAATTTTTCTTGCCACCGTTGTTAAGTGAGTCACTGCCACGGTTGTTAAGTGAATCCAGCTCCCCCACTGACTTTGCTTGTCAGAAGGTCGCAAAAGTTGATCACATGATCCCGGGACTCTACAACCATCATAAATATGAGTCAATTGCCAAGCGTCCGAATTTTGATCACGTGGCTATGGGGATTCTGCAACGTTCGTAAGTGTGAAAAATAATCATGTTACTTTTTTCAGTGCTGTTGTAACTTTGAACAGTTATTAAATGAACTGTACTAAGTTCAGGACTATCTGTATACATAATGACAACTCAAGACAACATTCATGGCAAAAACAGCATTATAAAAATGCAGCAATCAACCAATTTCTCACTAGTTCTTACTTCTCAATTGCCACCGACCGCATGAAACAATTTAGCATTTAAGTTTCCAGATGGTCAGTCATATGGGAACAATCTCAACTGCACAGGGAGATTATTTCACACAGCAGGGACTGACCCTGAAAAATAAGCCCCTGCAATCCTCACAGGAGGTGAGCTGTTCCAAAGAAAGCCGCCTTTTGCAATTGACCAATAGTTATTTTTGTCAACGCCGATGCTGTTTAAGTGGTCAGTTGTTTGGGGATTGCATCCAAGGCACCCAATTACACTGATACTATCTTTGCTCTCTTTTGCTACAGTTATTGTACTTCTATTTGTGTTCAGACCCAGGCTTTGTTCAAATTAAGAAAACACACGCTGTGTGTAAAAGCAAACCTTTTTTAATGTGACGCTGGGAATTATTTGCATTCCCAGCCAAAATTCATTGTCTGAGATAAGAGCATGACTTTCAGAATTGTAAAAGGCTGCCAAGAAACAGACGTCCACTTCATTAGAAGATCAACTGACAGAAACTCCAGCAAAGACAAACCAGAGTCCACAGGGCTTCGATGAGGAATCAGAATCTAATGAACTTCTTTGCTTCCAGCAAAGAGCACATCACCAAGGGCTGGCTTTTATCCCTTATGGGCAATCACCTCCCAGCCTTACTCCCAAGTCGCTCCTGCTGCTTCAGTTGCTCTTGCCTTCTAGCAGCTCTGTGCACATGCACACTGGGAACAGGCTTCCCTTGTTCCTTTGCCTCGCTGCTGCCAGACTCTGAAAGCTCCAAAAGCAGCATCCCACTCTCAGATAGTCCTGGCTCCATCCCTGCATCAGATGCAGGACCCTCATCCGAGTCCTCACCAGACTCCCTGACTGGTTCCCTTTCGTCCTCACTGTCCGATACCTCTGCCGTCTGCATCAGCTGCCGGCGAACCACAACAATTTGTATTACTTTCTCCAATTATGATTATAAAATATTATCAAATGATTGTCAAATATTCATTATGATTATGGTTCATTGCACAGTCAACCAGATGTTTAGACTGGATTTGGCATTTGACTCCTTTCTCAAGGACCTGAGACAGGTAGCCCTTTTAGACTTATATACGACTTCACGGTGCTTTACAGACCTCTCTAAGCAGTTTTACAGAGTCAGCATATTGCCCCCAACAATCTGGGTCCACATTTTACCCACCTCATTGGAAGAATGAGTCAACCTTGAGCCTGGTGGGATTTGAACTGCCCAATTGCAGGCAGCCGGAAGGCAGGCAGCAGAAGTAGCCTACAGTACTGCACTCTAACCACTGCCCCACAGTGGCTCAGATAGATCTTATTTGATGGTGTCTAAGGCATCACTACACAGGGTATTGGCAGCTCCAGGTAAAGCTACCTTTTGCAATTGGCTGATGTGGAATTTGTCGATGCTGAAGGTGTTCAAGAGGTGTTCCAGAGGTTTTGGGATTGCAACCAAGGTGACAATAAACCCAATAAAGACAGTTTGGAGTAGTGGTTAAGGCACCAGGCTACAGAAAGCACGAGACCGAGAGTTCATGTCCTGCCCTTAGCCATGAAAGCCAGCTGAGTGACTTTGGACTGTAGAGTTGTAATTGCAGGAAAGTCATTATCTTGATGGCAAACCTCAGATAAGGACAAAAGCAAATACAACTCAGGCAAACAAAATGACTAATACAAAGAAGGATTAGAGAGAGGAAGTAAGCACGTGTTAGACTTTGACTAGAGATAATTAGTTGTGTTAATTACTATGCTAAACAGTAACGAAAGTTGAGCAATAACTAAAGTTAACCAATGTTAGAGGATTACTGAAAACGTGTATAAATGCAAGACTAGATTCCAATGAAGTTCATCATGATTCAGTTGATCATGATCAAACACCTCGACTGCCTCGTCATTACAACATTGGACCAATCCCTGTCTCTCAGCCCACCACACAGGGTTGCTGTGTTGAGGAAAATGGGAGGAGGAAGGTGTGCCAGATGTGTTCTCCTCCTTCAGTGTCATGCCCCTGGTGGAGACTGACTCTGAGGAAGAGGAGGAACAGCCAACAGGGAGTGGGAGTGTGGCTCCAGAGGTGGTGGAGGAGGCTGGGGAAGGGTAGAGGCCGGCTGAGCAGACAGAAGAGGATCCAGGCCCATCCCCTCTCCATCCTAGGTCACGCAGGGAGGAGAGGATCAGGGAAAAGCAAGGTCTACTCAAGAGGAGATTACCATGATCCTCCTCATGGCTTGCAACTGGGAGCTATGTATATAAGTTTGCAACCGCGCAGTTTGCAACTGCAGGAGTCAATTTAGTGTCCAGCTTGAAAGAGGTTTATCTGTGCTGGCGTTCTTCCCATGGACTTTTCTCGGTTATTTTCCTGGAGTTTATGATTAGTTATCTCAGCTTGCTTCAGAACTCTCATCAATGCGGTTTGTTTTGGTTTTCTGTTTGCCTCATTAGTTACTTTTGTGACTTTAAACTGTGCCAAATAAAACAGGGAAGTTAAGTTGAAGGCCTTGCCGGACTTTAATATATATTTTGGGTTTGGGGTTATTTTGAGAGACTACGGGTCATCACATTCAGTTATTTGTAAAGATAATAAAGGCTGGATACAAATAAACAAAATTAATAAAATATATAAAACCCTCCTTCAAATTAAACTCAACTCCTGGTAAGTATGGCGTGCAGCTATCTACTGAGAAGCCTTTGTCTTCCTGCAGTCTAATTTGCAGCCCTGAAATCTCCCTTTTGTCTCCCACTCAATATTATCCAGGACTGACCCTGCTTAGCTTTTCTAAGAGCAGCCAAAATAGCTTGCTGCTGCCATCTAGTGGAAAACTAAGGCAAACTTTCCTGAGTTCTCTGCTTTTCAAGGTACTGAAAGAGGAGAGAGAAATTAAGAAAATTAAACTAGCAGAAGAGATAAAGTAATAATAGCTAAATAGATAAGTACGTAAATATTTTAATAATTTTCATCAAAGACTTATAGCGCCAGTAATAGAATAGAATAGAATAGAATAGAATAGAATAGAATAGAATAGAATTCTTTATTGGCCAACTGTGATCGAACACACAAGGAATTTGTCTTTGGTGCATATGCTCTCAGTGTACATAAGAAAAAAATAAAATAAATTCATCAAGAATCATAAGCTACAATGTTTAGTGATAGTCATAGGTTACTAATAAGCAATCAAATCATACTATGGAACAAATAAAATATAAATTGTAAAGATACAAGCAACATGGTTATAGTCATAAGTGGAAAGAGATAGGTACTAGGAAGGATGAGAAGAATACTAGTAATACAGTCTCACTAAGTATTGTGCAAATTAGTTGTTTAGCAGAGTGATGGCATTCAGGAAAACCCCTAACTGGCAATTAGAACCACCATCCAATTCCTTCAGATTTTGGAAAGGAACAAACTTCATCCTTCGCTTAAGCTTGGCTTAAGCAGGCCATGCTTTTACTTTTTACCTGAAGAAATATTTCCATGTCGTATTCTCAGAAACTTCCTGTCATACCAAGCTGTATACTGCACGAGTCAAAAGAGGACTGTGAAAATGTATTGAGGACATGAACTGTTTCAACTCCTACCCTTAAAACGACGCTATAGAGCCCTGCACACCAGAACAACTAGACACAAGGACAGTTTTCCCCAAATGGCATCACTCTGCTAAACAAATAATTCCCTCAACACTGTCCAGCTATTTACGAAGTCTACACTACTATTACTGTTAATCTTCTCTCACTCCTTATCACCCATCGGCTTCCACTTGTGACTGTATGAATGTAACTTTTTGCTTGTATCCTTACCATTTATATTGACTGTTTCCTAGTATGATTTGATTGTACCCTATGACTATTATTAAGTGTTGTCCTTGATGATTCTTGACGAATGTATCTTTTATGTACACTGAGAGCATTTGCACCAAGACAAATTCCTTGTGTGTCCAATCATACTTGGCCAATAAAGTGTTCTGTTCTATACCGAGAGAGTTAAAAACTAGGGTTTGTTTTTTTTTATAACATATATACCCAGAAAAGGCATTCAAATCCCTGCAGTATTTTTTCTTTTTTTCTTTTTTTTTAATGCAATAATTTAAATGAACTTTACCTTCGGAAGTGAGCTTGGGAAGGGTTATGAATAGGTTCTTGCCCGCCTGGGTGATTGCATTTTGGATCATGTCCAACATTTTTGCATCCTCGGCCCCAATTTATCTCAACGAAGTCAAAAAGCCGGGCGGGGGTGGAGGCACCGAAGCGGATCCTTTAATTCGCGGCGGGGGGGAAAGTTGCGGTCACATTCTTCTTAAGTTTCGTCCTCCTTGATTTTCTTTTTAAAGCACGGCCTTAGCGAGCTCGCCCCATTTCCCTTCTCTTGCTCTCCTCCTCCCCATCAATGCAAGAAGCGAAACTTCGGTGCCTCGAAGGAGAGAGAAGGGCCGAGAGAAAGAGAGAGAGAAACTCGGCGAAACGCAGGACATTCACAGCGCCGGGGGAGGGGAGGGAGGGGCTGATGGAAGGGAGGGGAGGGGCTCGTCGCTAGGACGCGCGTTTCCCTCACTCGTTACCAGGAGTGACGTCACAATCGAGGGGGTAGTCGCCCGGCTTTTGTGTGAAGTTGTCCAGCGTGGTTTTTTTAGACGTTCACTTCAAGGCTGGACTGGATGGGATGTTCTCCAGGGCGATTTGGTCCTTCCCGTCTTCCAAAGCAGCTTCTCCACCCAGCTTCTGGTTGTCCCCTCCTTCTGTCTGTCTGCCTATCATCTCTCTCCACCCACCCATCTATCGATCATCTACCTACCTATCATCTATCTATCCATTTATCTACCTACCTACCCACCCATTCCTCCCTCCATCTATCTATCTATCTATCTATCTATCTATCTATCTATCTATCTATC